CAACAACAACAACAACAACAACAACAACAACAACAACAACAACAACAACGACAACAACCAACAACCAACAACCAACAACCAACAACCAACAACCAACAACCAACAACCAACAACCAACAACCAACAACCAACAACCAACAACCAACAACAAACAACAAACACCAAACACCAACACCAACACCAACACCAACACCAACACCAACACCAACACCAACAACACCAACAACACCAACAACACCACCACCAACAACAACAACAACAGCAACAATGAATAACACGAAATAAAGTAAGAAAATAGCAACAACCAAGACACAATAATAATGACAATAACAATCATAATAATGACAATGCCATAATAATAATAACAAACAACAAATACGATAATTGAAATCAAAAAGCATCGGCGTTGGCATGGCGTTTTGCGATTTCTCCGGTCCAATCTTCGCAGGCCGAAAGCTTTCCGAATTTATGGAATCGATGAGCTTACCGAGAGATCCCCTCCCGGCGATTTCGTGGAAGCTCCCGAAGAAACCGAGCCGGAAATGGACTGGGTGAGGCATTTACGGAGACCTGGACCAAACTACCCATTCACATGGGACACCCAAAGATTTTGGGGCAATCACCCAGGTCTAAGGGAAGTTTAAGGTCCAGTTACACACTGTTCTGCTTTTGGGGGGCAGGGGGGGCGGGGAACGAGGGATCATGAAGGTCTCTTAAGGGTTCTGCCCCCTTGATCCCAATGCCCGCTTTTTCAGGGTATGATACCAACCCCTGATTAAAAACGCCTGGGACTTCAACAAACCTCAAAAACAAAATGAGGGTATTTAATGAGCTTTCGGGGGTCTGCTGGCTTGCAAGTCGAAGCCCAGAAGATTGGCTCCTGATTGAGTCGACATACTTTAACGAGAAAGCAAGGAACTTGTCGAGCTACCACCTCCAAATACCCCCAGGTTTTGAGTGTGGCTCTTCCGTCCCCAAAACTACCCACGTTAACTATCATGTCAAAGCCAGAGTGGCGTTTCACTTGCCACACAGTAGCAACCTAGGGAACCATCTTTGCAACAACTATCAACTAACAGCAGAACCAACGCTAGGGTACTGCTATCGTGGAGAGAGTATTTGAGTCCGAGGTTGTTATTATTCGGAGAGATCCAGTGGAGGGGGCAGAGCACTCGGTAAGCCCATTGGCCAAGTTCAGCCCAATGTTTCTGGCTGAAAAATCCGAGTCACGCCGGTGCGGCCAAGTTCAGCCCAGAAAGCCCAAGCCATAGTCGTTCTGTTGAACCAGCTGTTCCCCCAGAAGGATGGCTGGAAGGAATGTACGCTGCCCCTCCATTTGCTTAAGCCCACTGGACACAGGTTTGCAGTAGTGATAGATTCCCTTTGAAGCGTGGAAAATAACAAACCTATTCTTCAACAAATGTACGCTGCTCATCCGACCCCGAGCAAAAGATCTTCATCAGCCGTAGATTTAACAAAACAAAGAAGCTAATTTAGCTTCCAAAAACTCTGACGGGGTGTATCTTAACATGAAGGAACCCCAAAATGGCTTCGGTCTTCCCTTCGGTTTCTCCTTAACTGGGCTGCCCTTGGATCCCCCGCGAGAAGTTTAACTTGGAGTGGGTTAAATGGAAGCTACCACTATACACTAAAGAGCTAAAAAGCTAAGGAAGCTACCAAGTTCAAACAACCCAAAAGAGAGTAGCTAAACAGACCAAAACCGGGCCTGCTGGGTCACACTCAAGACCGAATTGCCATGGGTGCAAGCCACTCCGAGCCGGTGTTTGGCCCCGGAAACGCACAGCGGTCCACCCAGTTCGGTAGCAAAAGCCCGAGGGCAGTTTGAGTCCGTCGGAGTCGGTTGGCATACGAAGATGTGTACCGCGCACATGGTCTTATCCAAAAGTACAAAGTTGAAACACTTGCTAAACAATTTCATGGGTGAAATCCACTGAGCAACTTTCTTGATCGCAATGGGAGCATTGTGCTCCACATAAGCAATGGGACTATTCCTTCAACTGCGAGTTCTGCAGCTGAAATCAAATCGACACTAACGGCCCTCCCAGATCTCGGCACACTTTTTTGGGGGGATTTCGAAGGCGGTTCCATGAATCCCAATTACCCTTGCAGTGGGTAACCATTTTTTTGTTTTTAAAGGTTGTTTCCTTGGTTATCTAGTAAGCCAAATGGATCCACTCGCTACCTTTTGAAGCAAATAGGGCGCTCAAGGTCTGGCGAATCGCACAGAACTTATATGTGAGATCGGCCGATGCATCACGGGGTTGGTTCGTGGTCCAGTTCATCCCCAGGCTTCGGTGAGTCAGCGCAATCCTCGACTCGTCGACTCGGCCCGCAGCTTAACACCGAATCGACGTTTGCTGAAAACGAACAACACGCATTGGTCCTTTGCGGCCCTCTACAGGACTGAGCAGAACCAACACCAAAAAACAACTGCCAACAACAGTGAAGTTCATGTCAAACAGCCCATGAAACTGTCCCATTCATACCGCCGCCACCAAGCAATCGGCGTCTACATTTCTGGGTGAGTTTAGTAAGTTTTGTGGTGGTCAATATTGATTGCCCTCAACTGACACTGGCTTTGGCTTGTCCTTCAATTGGCGCACTTGTTGAACGGCTGCCCCATTTTCGGCCCTATGTTGGGCAGTTGGATCGCTCTCCCAAGAATTCTGCAATGACTCTACTGCAATTGCTCTACTCTGGCAGACCAGCACTTTGAACTTTGAACAAGGCTCTTCATAAGTTTGCCATCAAAGTATGACTCACTTGCCCAAAGCAACCCGAAATACGAGGTAGCCTTGTGGGGTAAAACAAGAACAAGAAGGGGACACCAAAAGGTCAAAAGGTCGACGTTGGGCAAGTGAGAAGAAGTTCTGTGTCGCAAGACATAGAAGAACCGTTCTCTGTGCCCGACTGCACTCATATGGATGGCAACCGACTGGGAAACCAGGGAAATCGGTAAGGGACAGCATCACCTGAACAACTAAGACGAACAAATCGAATTTGCGCACACACTGGTCGAAATAACCGTTGTCCTTTCGGTTTCCCTTTTAAAACCACCTTGAAACGGGCGCCCTGAAGAAAGAAATACCTGGAGGCTCCTTTGTCCCTTGGTTTTTGGGGTCGCAAAGTAAGAATTGCATTTTTTTGCGAAGAGGCGTTTTTGTTTTAACGTACCTTTTTGTTTGCAGTTGCCACAACCCCAAAAACAAAGGGCAAAGGAGGCTCCACAGACTGGTGTACCAGGGTGTTGTTTCTGATAGGGAGCATTCTAAAGGTCCCACATTGGAAGGTTGGATGAACTTCAGTATTGCTTGTGAGGGGGGTGCCGGAAAAGGACACAGGAGTTTGTGGGCCTGAGCTCACGCGTTTGCACTGCCCACCGCCCTGTGGCTCATTTGTAAGCCCTTGCCACAGTGTGGCAACGTGTGGAATCTGGAGGGTTGTGGCCTGACCCAGGCACGCTGCCCAAGCC